CCTTGTCTGATGTGTCATGCAAAATACTTTTTCCCATTCTGTGGGTTCCCTTTTTACTCTTTTGGTGAAGTCTTTTGATGCATATAAGTTTTTAATTTTTAGTATGTCCCAATCATCTATTTTGTCTACTTTTGTTTGTGTGGTTTTCAAAATGTTTTGTAGTCTGTGTGGTCCCTGAATTAATGCCCTCACATTTTCCCCTGTTTTTTCATTGATGGCCTTCCTAATTCTGGGATCCACATTTAGGTCTTTAATCCATGTTGAGTTGGTTTTTGTATAAGACGTGAGGTGAAGGTCTTGTTTCAATCTTTTGCATATCGCTTCCCAGTTCTGCCAGCACCATCTGTTGAAGAAACCATCACCTCCCCATGTGATATATTTAGGTACCTTGTCAAAAATCAGTTGCTCTTTCATTATCTTTTAATTCTGTTTTTTTTTATAAAGTTTTTGAAATCCCCTCATAGAAGACAGAGGGAACTTACCAACAATTAACTTGCTTAAAAATGATTTTTCTTTGTTTTGATTCATAACAAAATACTCATAAAATAACTGCTAAGCTTTTTTATGGCTTCTGGTTGATGCTTCCTGTAGGGTGTATTTATTTGTTTTTGAACAGCGTCATTAAGGTAAACTTGGCACACAATAAAGTGCACATAAGTCTGAAGGGTGTTTGGGATAAAGTTTCCCAATGAAATTCTCATAGGACAGCCCTGGCTACCCTTGAAGAAAGATGTCATGTTGGGAAAAAAAATTCCTCAGTGCAACTTTCCTGGTCTTTTCCTCACCAATCCAGTTTTCTATTTTCTTAAAACTTTTTTTTTTTAATGTTTGCATTGTGAAATGAGTGATAATTTACATGGGAGAACATCAGTTTTATTTATTTATTTTATTTTTTTAAGTGTTTTATTGTGAATTATATGATAGTTTACATGGGAGAACATTAGTTTTACATTCATTCTATCGTACGTACATTGTATCATTGCCATGCTTACAATCCCCTCCATGCATCATCAACCAACCAAAGGGTATACCCTGCAAGCCTACCCCCTACACTATCCCCTCCCCGCCCAGTCTTCAGCACACAGTCGTTCTCCCTCTCTGGATCCAAAGTCCCCAGCTGCTCCA